AAGCTTGCCACAGAAGAGGAGTGACCCAGGTATGTTCTTTATTCCTTGTATAATCGGGAATTTAAAAATAGAACGAGCTATGTTGGATTTGGGTGCTTCGATAAATGTTATGCCTCGTTCTATTTTTAATTCTCTGAATTTGGGTCCTTTAAAACAAACCGGGGTTGTTATCCAACTCGCCGATCGTAGTACCACTTTTCCCGACGGCGTTGTTGAGGATGTTCTAGTCAAAGTAAATGATCTTGTATTTCCTGCTGATTTCTATGTGTTGAGCATGGATGATAAATCCTCAAACTCCACCCCAATTTTATTGGGAAGACCATTTTTGAACACCGCCCAAACGAGGATTGATGTCCGACAGGGCACTCTTACTATGGAGTTTGATGGACATATCATCAAGTTCAACATTTTTGATGCTATGAAATATCCCAATGATTGTGATGATTCCGTTTATATGCTTGATGTTATTGACCCTTTAGCACAGGAATTTATGGAGATTTATGGCCAATGTGATGAGTTAGAGGTGGCGATTGCATCGAGTATTGGGTGCGACAGTCTGTTATTACCCCCCCTGATAACAGAAGTTGACGGTGCCAATTTTGGCGAGCGGGCCAAAGAACTGAGGGAAATCGTGATGGCTTTGCATGATATAGGACCAGTTCCTCTTAGGTATGATATTAATTTCATTCAATTACCAGAATCTAACCAGAAAATTTTGCCATCAACTGTGCAGGCCCCGGAGCTCGAATTAAAATCCTTGCCGACGCACTTGAAGTACGTGTACTTGGGAGACAATGACACGCTGCCCGTGATCATATCAGCATGCCTAGAGGCTGACCAGGAGATCTCATTGCTGCAAGTGTTGAAGGATAACAAGCGGGCGATCGGTTGGACGATAGCAGACTTGCGTGGAATCAGTCCTTCGATTTGTATGCACCGTATCTTGTTCGAGGACGGAGCCGGGCCATCACGGGAGCCACAACGGAGGTTGAATCCACCCATGATGGAGGTGGTTAAGAAGGAGGTCATCAAATTGCTGGATGTCGGGGTGATTTATCCTATTTCTGACAGTCGATGGGTAAGTCCGACTCAGGTAGTGCCCAAGAAATCTGGGGTAACTGTGGTTGAGAACCACAATGGTGAGTTAGTTCCTACTAGAGTACAGACTGGTTGGAGAGTTTGTATTGATTATCGTAAGTTGAATGCGATGACGCGTAAGGATCATTTTCCTTTACCGTTTATTGATCAAATGATTGAGAGATTGGCTGGTCACTCTTATTATTGTTTCTTAGATGGTTTTTCAGGATACTTTCAGATCCCTATAGCTCCAGAGGACCAAGAGAAGACGACGTTCACGTGTCCTTATGGCACGTTTGCCTACCGTCGTATGCCATTCGGATTGTGCAATGCACCAGCCACGTTTCAGAGGTGCATGGTGAGTATTTTTTCTGAGTATGTTGGTAACATCATAGAAGTGTTCATGGATGACTTCAGTGTGTATGGCGACTCCTTTGAGGTATGTCTCGAGAACCTCTCTTTGATCTTAAAAAGATGTGCCGAAACCAACCTTGTATTGAATTGGGAAAAATGTCATTTTATGGTAACACAAGGTATTGTTTTGGGCCATATTGTTTCTTTAAAAGGAGTTGAAGTAGATAAGTCAAAAGTTGATCTTATAACTGCCTTGCCTTACCCCGCTAGTGTGCGGGAAGTTCGTTCGTTTCTTGGTCATGCAGGCTTCTATAGGAGGTTCATCAAGGACTTTTCAAAGATAGCCTCACCACTTTGTAGGCTCTTGCAGAAGGATGTAGAGTTCAAGGTCGATGAGGAGTGTAAAGCCGCCTTCGACACATTGAAGGAGCGGTTGACGACTTCTCCAATTATCCAATCGCCAAAGTGGGACTTGCCATTCGAGATCATGTGCGATGCTAGCGACCATGCTGTTGGTGCCGTCCTTGGCCAAAGGGTGAACAAGGCAGCCCATGTGATATACTATGCTTCGAGAACCTTGAATCCCGCTCAAGAGAACTACACGACTACGGAAAAAGAATTATTGGCTGTTGTTTTTGCTCTAGAGAAATTTAGATCATATATTATTGGAACTAAAGTTATTATATTTACTGATCATGCAGCGCTTCGGCACTTGTTCGCGAAGAAAGAGTCCAAACCGAGGATTATTCGGTGGATACTACTACTTCAAAAGTTTGATTTGGAGATCCGGGACAAGAAGGGTGCCGAGAATTCAGTGGCTGACCACCTGAGTCGATTGACACATGTAGAGGAGCAGCTTGACCTCAGCGAGAGCTTTCCGGACGAGCGTTTATTCCAACTCGAGGAACTTCGACCCGATTCTGTATTATCGGGGGGGCCGATAGCAGAAAATGACCTTGAACAGATTTTATCACCCCCCTGGTAGCAGCAGTAACGGAACCATGGTATGCCGATTTGGTTAATTATATT